ATTGCAAAAACACTTTAACATGAAAGTTAATCACGAGTAAAATTAACAAGATAAATTATTTAAAATTTTAAGGATCAACATGAAATTTTTAATAATATTACTGTGTATACCGAAGTAGTATTTAATATTAAAAAATATTATGTCATACCAGACAAGGATTTTCTTCTGTTGAACCACTTTCTCCATGAAAATGTAGTGAACAAATATAAGTATCTTTAGTAACATCATCCATGAATCGATCGAAAACCTTTGTCACTTCGACCACATTTTTCCACTCATAATGCTCATTTAAACATGTTTTAATATGTATTTTGCCTAATGATTTGATAGTTTTTTTACGATATTGCAGGCAAGTCTTTTTATAAAATAATAATTTACACCGTGTGTCACTTTTACATACTCATAACAATACCGTTTAGTTTTTCCTTTTCGTAAAAATAACATAATTAATTGATTGCAAAAATTGAGTTTTCAATTAAGACACTTATTACTTTACTTTTTTTATCCCATTTTTTAAACGAATACACTTAAAATTAATATTTATCGATTATAATTTTTTTCACGTGGCATTTTAACATGCTTGTTTACAAAAACAGTACGAAAAAGATGGCTGCTACTGACGCATGCGCACAAAAAAAATTGTGATGAAAAGGCCTATTGATTTTTCCATCTATTCACTTTTCCCCTAATCTATGGTATTAATTTTAAAGAAAATTAACCTAATAAATAATAACCTTTATAAACAAAATATGAATTAAATAGATCGATCCCATATTATAAATAAAATACTGAATAAATAGTTTTGATAACTGTTAAAACCAGTTTTGAAGTTTGAAACGAACAAATTGGTAATGAAATTGATATTATTGTATTTTTTCAATGTAAATTTAGTCTTTTGGACAAGTCTAACTAGGTATCTTGGCGCTTTCCTATTAGAATTGAAGATCTAAAAATGGAATTATGGTATTTTTTTATATGTACATAAATGTATAAATACATTTTTTGTGGACAATTACAACTATAAAATTTCTAATGTATTTGATTTTATTGGAAAATACAAAGCTGTATTTTGTTACTGACCTTGAATAACATGATAATAATTTTATTAATTGTATATGTGGGATGATATCCACGTAAGTCAGTTATTTTTTATTTTTAGACAACAATGACAATAAATTATGTTTTAAACAAGGGGCAGCCAAAAATTAACTGATAAATATATAAAAAGAGGAATATTTATTTACTCGTAAATCACATTTCTAAATTAAACTGATATGGACAAGACTAATTAGTTAATCACTGGACATTAAAATAGTAGATAAAACGTGTTGGCGCATATTAGTTAGTTATTCAATTAAATAAATACAGGGTCCAGCGATCTGGAGACACTATATACAGGGTGTAACAAAAAGGTAGGTCATAAATGGAACCACATATTCTGGGGCCAAAAATAACTCGATTGTATATAACTTATCCCAATGCAAATGTGCACACAAAAAGTTACAGCCCTTGGGAAGTACAAAATAAAAATCGATTTTTTCCAATATTTCATGAACTGTTTAGCAATTAGTAATGAAAATGGATACATGGCTTTCTTACTTTAAGAGCATCTTTTTCACATAAAACCAAGATCTGTACAGCCCATAAAAATTTTAGGGGGATTTTGAACCCTTAAAACCCCCCAAACTTTTCTATGCGTTACAATTAAATTAGTATTGCGACACCATTGGTTTAATACATAATTTAAAAAAAAAATTGCCTCCTAGCACTTTTTTGAAAAGGCTTTGTTCCCTTATAGATCCCGATTTTTACTAAAAATTTCAAGTTGATATTTTTTTTTTTAGAGTTTTTCTAATATTTCAACCTCCCGTAACCCTTCCATTTTAATTCAGATATTTTTTAGAATCAATAAATTTCATTCTCTTTTAGAATTTTTTGTTTTTGATTTATCGTGCAAACAAAAACGTGACATCGGACAGACGAAAGGACATTTTTAAATTTGGATCAATTTTAAAAATTTGTGTTTCTCCAAAGTAAATCTATAATACTCTTCACAGACTACTGTTCGATGAGTATAATAATGAAAATTTCGGTAAATTGAATCAGGAGGATCTCCATATCGCTGCTTGGTATTGATAGTGGCACAACTCAAAAAAAATCAGAACTCTTTTACTACACAGAATTACAATTCATCTTATCTTAAGGTTTAGTAATTGCTAATATAGTCCTAGATATGACTTTGTGTTCGAGTAAAGCAAGTGATAACATTTGAAAGACGAACCATCATGTTCAGACCACAGACGGATTATATTTGATCTAGTTACCCCACCTCGAGTTTCAACCAAATACAGAAACCCTAGAGAGATGAACTGGGAAAGGTATTCAACATCACTTGGAAAGTATCCCGAAGAGGGTATGGTGGAAAAAACAGGTGAACAAAGCTTTGACCTAGCAGTAGCCCAAGTAAGTATCTGGAGTAAACTATCTGGAGAAAACAAGGCAGCAAAGAACAAAAACTGTTTAGCGGAACAAACACTTGGAACGGCTTACATATGAAGCGCGAAGACTATTTAATAAATCTAAGTCAACCGAAGACTGGGCCCTATATAGGGCTAAACTTATGCAGTACAACAAGGAGATTAGAAAGGCTAAAAAACAATCGTGGAGGAAGTTCTGTGACGAGTTAACTGAAACACCCACATGCTGTGGAATCCTCAAAGTTTTAGTTAAAGAGGGTACTGCAAACCAAGTAGGATTTCTCAGTAAAGATGATGAAAGCTATACAAAAACCTTCGTGGAAAAGTTAACAATGCTCACAGAAACACATTTTCCGACAGCAGAATTTTTTTTAGACCCGATGGTATCATACAGCTCTCAAAGAAGGTCTCGTAAGCCAACTCCTTTGGAAAGAAATATCGAGGCCGAACCAAATTAGATAGGCTACAAATAAATTTCAACCATAAAAATCCCCATTTTACTACAAAAGGGACAGGAAACTTTAATGCCACATATGTGGGGAATATTTGGCGACATATACCAAAGACGTGGTAAAATTTGAAAGTCATATACCTTCCTAAAGTAGGAAGGTTTAATGATATTACACTAAAGTCGAACCGCCAAATCAGTCTATCGTTATTCATGCTGAAAACGCTAGACGATTATACGAGACGAAATATATCAGGCTATTGTCAAAATCCCTGGAGGATAAAGAAATGAAAGTAGCATCTTTCGTATATATTGAGGGAGCTTTTAATAATCCCCAAACAAGATCTATAATTAACGCACTAGCAATGAAAGGGGTACTAGTAGTACTGTGTCAGTGGGTAAAAGCCAGCCTAGAAGAAAGGGTAATAAGATCATTTCCAGGCGAAGCTACACTGATAGCCGAAGCTATGGGTCGGTGGTATGGTGGCCAAAGACTCGGCAAGCTGGAGCCATTCGACAGCTCAATGGTATTCAAAGGCAAGCATGCCTGAGTACCACGGGAGCTATGAGAACGACTCTAACAGCAGCTATAGAAGACGTGCTAAACCTAACCCAACTACATATATTCATTCAAGGCGAAGCCAGGTCTGTCACATACAGACTGTACAAAGGTTCATCACCGATAATCAAGTTGCATGGACGTGACTACAGCGAGCTATATAAAGAGTTGGAGAACGACCAAATAATGGGGATGCCTTCAGACAAAATGCTCCCAAAGTATAGCTTTCAAAAGCAATATAAAGTAAGTATACCAGACAGGGAAGCGTGTACGGGAGGACCTCCTATTCATGCAGAATTCACATGGTATACAGACGGCTCTAAAACCCATGAAGGTTCAGGAGTAGGTATATATAGTACCAAGTTAAAGACAAGAATCTAACTTAGGTAAACATGCGACAGTATTTCAGACAGAAATAGCAGCAATACAAAAAAAAAAGAATAGGACAGAAGAAGGTAAATGGAATAACCGTTGTCATATACTCAAGATAGTGAAGCGACGTTAAAAGCAGGTACGCTCAAAGCTTGTATGGGACTGTTTGGAAGTCCTAACAGAACTGGATAGTCAAAACAGACTAACCTTTGCCAGGGTACCAGACCACAGAAGACAAGGGCAACGAAGAGGCTGATTTATTAGGCAAAAAGGAGCCTCAAAGGCTCTTATTGGCCCAGAACCCTTCTGTTGTGTCACAGAGACAACTATCAGAACATGCACAAAGCAGTGGATGTTTAAAAAATTTCAGAAGTGATGGATAAGAGACAAGCCAAAGAGTTTTTAAAGGGGCCATCGCCTGACTGAGATTGGAGAAGAAAAACCAATGGCTACGCCGGAGAACTACTTCCTAGTCTACTACAAAAGACCGAATTAGACAAGGTACATTAAACAACGATTAAAGGATATCCACAATAGATTTGGCCCACAGTCCTAATTAAATCTAATATAATCTACTACACAGGAATGTTCTGCATTGTATATATTTTTATCATAAAAATCGGCACATCTAATAATTCGTAGCTTCGTAGCGCGAAAGCTAATATTTTTGGTAATCGTACAAGTGATGCCGTAAAGAGGCCCAAACAAGGCAAATAGGGACTTGAGAGATTGGATCTGACTCGACTCGTCGAAAATGGCTCGCATTACAATAATTTACTCTTAAAAAGGGCGGGTTGCGATTGATTTTTATAATTTTTGGTAAAGCATGTTCTGCGACTATGTGAAGTTTTTAGATTGTTTTGCTCTTTTTAGATGATCTCCCATTTGTTACAAGGCTATCTGAATTTGGTTAAACGATCAAGCGTAGAATAATGATAAATTAACCAATTTTTTAATTTTAAAATGTGCTAAAATCAGTGCCATTCGTTTAGGACATCATACACTCTTGTCACTTTCAATATAGACATGTTAGTTAATAACATTCTGTATAGTGGTTGCAAAAGTTGAAAAAGTCCTGGAAAAACATAACATCATGGAGACACTAACTTTATTAAGTTAATATATAAAATCTATTTTGTTACAGGTGCGAAAAACTACAGCCTGGTGCACAATACTCCAGAATTTGGTACTCCATTAGGAAATTCTTACAAATGCGCGAAGGTACAGACATTTAACCTCACCGAAAAGGATGACAACAAAACTGTGGCCTACTTGCATATTAGCCACGTCCAAATGCAAGCGTTCGCCAATAATACCGGACATAAATTTGATACGGGTAAGTTTTCTTTTTTAATTATAAAATTGGCGTATTGTAAGAAGAAAATTAAATTATCAATAAAAGCCTAAAAATGGTAGTACAAAATATATTACAATAATTTTAAATGTATCCATTATTAATTAAGCATTCCTCGTAAAAACACAGAATCTCCCTAATAAGTTCCCAAATTTAAATTTATAAAAAATGGGCTTGAAGAATAACAAGTGAGAAAAATATCCTATGTATTTGAACATGTACATAGAACGTTGGAATGTGTTAGTTATAAAAAACCATAAATACATAAAATATACCCCACAAAATTATCGCATCACTAATAGTTTTCAAAAATTTGGAGTTTTTTTTGAACCGTTTGATTGATTTGGATATTCTTTTTTTGGAAGATAAGTTGATTCGTCAGGAATAGTAATCTCTTTGATTCTTTAAATAAAATTTAATTTTAGAGTGTATACCGGATGTTAAAATAATATAGGTTTTTGGTTGGAAAATTCGTAACACCCTGTGGAGTGTACCAGCAATAATAGCATGTTATAATTAATAGCCTACTTTAGCCTCATTTTTCGCAAAATTTTATTTTTTTGATTGTTTTATTCTCTTTGTTATTAAAGAAGAAATACAGTTTGTTAGCACTGCCTGTTTTTATAAACATACATTGCAAACATTTCAGTGATGCGATAATTTTTGTGGGGTATATAGTACATTATACAATGTACACTTAGGTTCTCAAACGAAGTATATTATTATAGAGAAATTTTTTACTACCAATACTGATATATTACTACCATATTTGATTTTGATAAACCCGACCTTAGTTATTTCCTACTTATTTTTCAAATATTTCAAAATATATGAAACTAATGGAATTAAATTGTTCATACCACTTACCAGTGTCAAATTTCCGAGTTTATTTAATTTTTGCTTAGAATTAAGTTAATAATAAAAGTTTCTGTTCATTTAATTAAAAATATGGACAATGTTTCATTATTTACGTAGGTGTTTTTTTATTATCATTATTTACCTAGGGTGAGAAATATTCTCATGTTAACAGTAAAAAACACATTTAATTGTTAGGTACCCCAAGTTGTATTTCAATTAAATGCATAAAAGTGTTACCAAGTACAGGAAATACAGCTAAATTTGACTGTTTCTGTACTAATAAATAAACTTTTAATGTTTAATTGACAATTGAGTCTTATTTGAGTTGGAAATTTGATTGGAGCTACCGACAACACTGTTCGACAAGAAATTATTTATTATTGGATAAGCTGGGCTTTCCGTAGAAATTTTTTTTTGCGGTATACCTCCTATTTAAAATTCTTTATTAGTGTCCCAGCATCCGAGAGGGAATTTTCGTTCTCCCGATCAAAATTCAAGTATTCCCTCTCGGCTGCTGTGTGTTACTGTCAGCGGCAGTGGTGCCGTTTATCCAACTTTTATAATGGTGGTTCAATACAATGCAATAATATAAAAGAAAAAAGGGCCCGGTGAAGGATCCTGAGGTGCAAAATTCACAAAAAAAAATTTAAACTCTCAAGAGTAACTAGTTTCGAAAAAAAATTTATGGATGAAGCAGTATTTTTTTAAAAAAATTGATTTAAAAATCCCAATTTTACAGGTTATAATCACAAAACAATTACTCTACATGAGAGTTTCTGTCTTAAAAATAACAAGCGTTGCCAAGTTGTTAATAAAATTATTAGTTTAAGAATTATTTAAAATTTATAAATTATGAGATTATAAAAAAGAAGTAATCAAAAATCATACATTTTTCGTTTGCTTCAAAAAGATAAGTACGGTAATATACGTATATAAAATGAAAAAATTAATAAATCAACCAAATTAATTTTAAAAATGCAGCTCAAAAAAACTACATACAAAATTAAAAAGTGAAATTAATTAAATCACAACATGTAATACCTAAACAACTTTTTTTAAATTTTCTTTCACTCAAAACCAAACAACGACTTCCCGTACCCATACCTGGCTACGCCTACCGGCATAGACTCCAACGGCCTGGACACAGCTCAAATTGAAATGAAAAGTCTCACATAACACATTATATTTTCACCTATACCCAATAATTATATTTGCTTTGTAATTCACCTGTAACCAATAATTATATTTTCTTTTTATTCAAACAGAAATCTTAAACTTAACAACAATATAGTATGGCAACGTTGCAAACTCGAGAACCGTATGTGTCAAGAACTGACAATTTCACGAATCACTTTATTTTAGGTTTTATGGAAGGAAATGATGAAAAGTTCGGTTAAATCAGTCAAAATATTGCATTTTATTATAATATAAATGAAAATAGCAAATGAAACGTATTTTTTCATATTTAATTTCAGTTAAAATATAAAAAGTAAGTTACTTCAATATATTAATGCTAAAATTATGAAATTCGCGCCTCAGGATCCTTCACCATAACCGAAAAAAATCATAGGTGACGAGCTGGAGCTGAAACTAAATTATTAAGTACTTTTAAAATTTTTAAATATTTTAATATTTGGGGTGTTTTTAATATAATCAAAAAATTGTGATTAAAATAATTCAAATTTAAGCGGATGTCAGTAATATTTAAATTCTTTAATCGTTAAAAGTATACTACTATGAAAAACATGAGTAATTTCCATAAATGATTCATAGATAAGAAGTGTAAAATCTAATTTTAAATTGAGTTTATTTTTAATATTATATATTAAATACAAGTCTTCAATTTCACTGTCACTAGAAGAACTGTCATTAGGAGTTGTATTTGAAAGTTTTTACTGGAACAGCATCGAATACTTTAACAATTTTGTATTCAATATACCAAATTTATTTTTCGATTTTGATGACCTGCTGAATATTCTTTTGGCATTATTCCGCACTGATGTTTTAGAGCATAGAAAGAAGTTAAACAGTACTTTGCTAAAAGTCAAACGCCATTGGACGGCTTCGAGAATTTCGCGGTAATGTTTGTCCGCCAGTGTCGTATCGTAGAATAAGTAAGAATGAAGTTTAGAATTTTGATTCGAGTGTTTTTTTGTAGTGTTTAATTAGTCAAAATGCCTAATGACAAGACCTTTTCAGTCAGCGCGAAAATGATATAGCTAATGTAATTAAATTTATGAAAAACGAGGTCAAAAATGGGGTTCAAATACAATTGAGGGACTTTGGAACTCATGTTCTAGCAGCAATAGGAAATTCAGAATTTACTTATCTAAAAATTAAAAAAGAAGCCTCTGTTGATTCAGGTAATATACCATCAATTCTCTCAAAAATCGTGAGGACAAACAAAAATTAATATTTCACAAGGACAGTGAGAAAGAGCTAGGCAGGTTATTATAAATGGCGTTCGGCATACTTATTATCACTTCATATGAATAGTCTTCTTTCTGTTGCTCTTTATAATTTTTCCCTATACCCAAGAATTTAAGCCAAATCCTTATATCTATGCATGCAGTTTTTAGAAAAGACCAAGTTGCTCGAGTAAGATTTGAAGGAAGCCTTAGAACATTCAAGAAAATAGCAAACAAAATTGGTTTCAGTTGGAAAAAGTCTCCCGAAAACAAACAGAACGGTGTTGACAGTTATGATTTTAGATTAAAAAGGGTGAAATATAACTAATCATAATATATAATGAAGGCAGGAACATTATTTACACAGATTAAACATATTTACACAGATTAAACATATTTACACAGTTGGTACACTCGCCCTAATAACTGGATAAATAATAATACCAATCATTTTAAATTGTTACTAGCGGAATCAGACAATCGTATATATTTATGGGCTATAAATAATTATTTAAACAAGTATTACAATATCTCAAAGCAATTCTACAAAATTTTATCGCGGTAACTTCGGTTAGCTCCGCGGCAAATCCTGTGTATCAAGTGGCAGACATACGAAAGTACTGTTTAACTTTGTCTATTTCTGCCTTCTATTAATTGCTTCTTTCACAGTTTCAGCATCTCACTCGTATGTACCTACTGTTTTCATTTATTTGTATCTTTATTTAGATTAAAGGGACGAGATGTAACATACACCGGTGTTTAATTTGCGCGAATGTTGCCAATTTCTAAAGAAAGGTTAACGGAGTGGGGGTACTGGGAGGAGACCCGAACTGTGTAACAGGGACGGCCTTTGTTTTTTATTTAACTATTTACTACGTTTACTTAAAAGATGTTTAATGGAATCTTGTATTATGAAATAAAATTAACGTGATTATTTAATATCAAACAGATTCAACGACATTTTATGTAAAGAGAAGACCTCTTATAGAATATATTTCGTTAGCGTTCATTTACTATGGACTTTTTTTTGCAAGAGACTACAATAAAATGTTGAAATAGAATATTGTTAATCGAGCAATAAATGGTATTATAATAGTATCATGTGCGCAGGCAAATACTGCAAATCAAACCTTGTGAGTTGAACATTATATTTTTTTTATTACATAATATTAAAAATTGTTCAAAATGAGAAAATGCTGTTTTGTATTGTATCCTCAAAAAAAGGTATATTAAAGCTTTCTTTAGGAATATTAATATAGAGGATGTGTTACATAAAACTTTAGAAATGCATATTTTTGAAATCATAATATTTTAAAATATGAAAAATCGAATAGAATCCATTAATTAAAAAGCCGATTAACCGATAAATCGGTATTTCCAAAAAATAATAAACGAATTATCGTATATTTTAAATAATCCAATTTTTCGTATTTCCTTTAAAACCAATTATTTGATAATTTTTGAAAAATCAAAAATATCGATTAATAAAAAATAATTGATTAATTAAAAAGCCGATTAACCGATAAATCGACTTTTCAAAAAAAAAAAAAAAAAACGAATAATCGACTATTTACAAATTATCTATTTCTTTCGTATTTCCTTTAAAATCGATTTTTCGATATCTTTGAAATACCGAAAATAATCGATTAATTAAAAAGCCTATTAACCGATAAATCGACTTTTCAAAAAAAGAAACGAATAATCGATTATTTACAA